CCCTATGTTGTCAGAAAACCGTTTTTTAGGCAGATTCTGAAAGACCGCAATTCAAGGAGTACAGCTGCATCGTCCAAACCCTCCAAAACCTGAACCACAGAACACTGCAGGCAATCCTATAGTTTGGAAACCTCAAAACCCTTGGTAGTCTCATTGCATTCACATGATCAATACCCTAAAACCCTAACCTTCTTGGAATGCATCTGATATTTTGCTTCCCGAAATATCCACAGAAGTCAACTGTCAAATTATGGGCTGAAGTGCGGCTGCCGAGTTTGTTTATGACGTCATCCATAGGTATCGGACGGACCAAGTTGCTTCACGCAGTCAGAAGGGGAACCATCCTGCACCCGTACCGTACAACTTCGCGTTCCGATCAGTACGTGCCGTATGGTTGCTCCCGAGTCCCATCAATCACCACTTACCGGTAGGAGGTGACAGCCTTCGTACGGTCTGGTAGTACGGTACAAACGGTGTAGGTACCGTACGTAGGTAGGACGTACGGCTACCAAGACTTGCCGAAACATGTACCGGTACCGTATGCCGTCGCAGGTATGGGCACCGTATGGTGCGTACCGTACGGGTACATGCATACGGTATACCTAGTGCGGTACCTGAAGTAGGTACCGGTACACCGTACTACGGCGTCGGTAGGTAGCGGCTGAAGTCTGAACTTTTGGTCAAGATCTGCACTACAGAGAGCGCTCCCTCATGCATGCAGAAGGTGCACGAGAGCTGCGACTTCCCCGGGATTTCTTCAAGTTCTAGTGTTTTTCAGGTCTAGCTTTGTGATCAAGTAGCCGTATTATCTCGAGGGTTCAGCATTCCCTGACTTTGGAACAGGTAGCGCACCTTTCGGTACAAGACACAAGCAAGGATGATTGCCCTGGTCCAGATCAAGTTTGGTTCACATTGTTTTATGCTGCAAAACTTCATTCAATTCAGAGCTTGCTTCCAAAGCCCCTGCGTTCAAGCCCTTACTTCCATATTTGCTTGGCAGCTCTTAAAGGGTTCTTTCCACCACACTAGAGACGTCATAGAAGTGTTCTGCCTTGCTCCCTCTCCAGCAGAGATTCAACATCCTTAGCAAAGAGTGCTCTTTTGTCCCCAGGAGCAAGGCTTGATTCATTCCTTTGCCGTGGAAACCACATAAGTTAACGTTGCGAGCTGGTCGCACCTCAACTCTAGAACTTACACAAGCGTGGCGGCTGCAACTTGATTTCAATCTGGGCTCGAACTTCTGGAGGAATCCATCCTGATAGCAGCCTTGCGTACCGCGGTACCTGTATCAGTGTGTCATTCAAAATCCTGACGCATTGGGCCCATAAGCATTCGCCCTTGGCTTCTGTAACGTTGAGTTGTCCCTCAAATCACTTCTTCTTCCACTGGGTCAAGTGCGAAACGTAGGGGATGGCGCCCTCAGCTCGTCCGGGGGGGCTCCTTGGAATGTGTGGGAAGGAATCCCTCATGCGGGCCCTCTGTGTTTTGGTCATCGTGGGGTGTGCTGCAGGGCAGGCAGCACCTCCAAGTGACCCAGACAATAACAATGGCACTCGTATTCCCTCTACTGCCAACGGTTCTCCTTTTGTCTGGTGTGACTACGGTGAGAGCGCTTGTAAAGCCCCTGACTGCCTTGTCTTATGAAGCTGAAATTTTCATTGCCTGCTGTGCTTCCAGCCACTTCTGGCCTCAGCTTGTGCGCAATGCCACGCCATCTACTTTTATGTGCCTGCTAGAATGTCAAGCCTGCACTGTAACCAGTTACTTTCTGTTTGCTTGTCCAACATTTCGTTCAAAGTTAACACTGGTCCCGTGGTGTTGCGATTGACCCCGTGACGGGCCACTTTTGCAGGTCTCGACATTCTCTCCTTTGACCAAGAGAACAGCGCGGTCATCATCACGTGAGTGTTTTCTAGGCGTCAACTCCATGAGGGCCTGTCAGATGCATCTCTTAAGGGGCAACCCGATGACTGGTTGGTCTTCGATTAACGCTGCTTCTTTGCTGCCTTTGCTGATGCAAGCCCACATGATGTCTCGCATCATGGACGCCTTCATCAGGGAGATCAGTATCAGCAGACCCACTCACTGTCCTTTTGTGTCTCCCCCTTGTAGCATGCCTGACACCACCACTGGGGCGCGCATCCACACTGACAAGAGATATGCGTATGGCAACTTTTCGGCCATGATCAAGTGCCCAGCAGGTGAGCCCACCCACACGCCTTGTGACCTCCCTGCGCACAAGTGCTTGCCGTGAAGATGAAATGCATGGCCAGGAGCAAAGTGGCTTCGGGAAAGAATGCATCTTGTGAATTTCATTTTGACAGCTTGAGCACTCAGAAACTTTCTAATGGCGGCGACTCTTCGTCCTGTATGAAGTTTCTGGCAGCAGGTCATCCAGCGGCGCAGGGTGACCCCCCTTGCTGCATTGTTGCAGGCGACATCACCGGCCTGGTGCCCAACTTCTACACGTCCAGGTGACGCACCCACCACAAAATCATCCTCCCCTGCTTGAACCACCACTTGTGCGCAACAACAGTCAGATCTTGCTCAACCTGTTTGTTTACGTGCTGGGCAATCCCCTCAGTGGGTCCTACCAAGTTGCTGCCAAACTGCACTTTTCCTTGTCATGCTAACGACGGCCAGCTCCGGTGTGCAGCGTCGAGACGGCGGGGGTGAACCCAGTGCAGGACGAGATTGACTTCGAGTTCCTGGGGAAGAACAAGACGCAGGTGCAGGTGGGCAGCCGCACTCATGGCAAGGAGCCCAACCTGCTGTCACAATGGTGGAAGACGCAGGAGTGCTTGTAGTTGCTAGACAAGACCGTCGGACGTAAAGCCCCGAGATACAGAGATCCCTTGAATGCCGAGCAAACATCTCAGGCAAGGGGCATTAGGAGCCCTGCCCTTTGATTTGTGAAAGTCAATTCTAGGGCTTGACTATTGCGTAGCGAAAGGCTGGTGGGCTCAAGGGGAGTCCCTCAAGGCCACACTGTCGTGCAGACTACTGAAGCCTTGGTGCATCGTCCGCAGGTGAACTACTACGTGGCTGGCAACAGCACCGGCAACGAGAAGACCGTCGACCTGGGCTTTGACTGCTCGGACGCCTTCCACGAGTATCGCATCGACTGGACGCCCATCCGGATCAAGTGAGCGCGGCGCCAATGGGCATTTGCAAGATGCGCCAGAATGACAATCTGATGCATGCAAAAGGGACCCAAAAAGACGTGAATGTAAGTCCAATCCCCCTGATGCTGAGCTCACTGGCCAGCGCACCAGGTTCTCATCGTCCCTGCTCGGCTTGCTTGCGTGCAGGTGGTTCATCGACGGCCGTCTGGTGCGCACTGTGTACAACCTGACCGGGCAGCCCTACCCCACGCTACCGGGCTTCCTGTGAGTGCCCCGCCCTGCAAGGCACAACCGGCAGGCGAACCCAGTGTCCGGGGCCCTCCGAGAGTCTCTCCTTCAAAGTGTGCTGCAATTCGGTGCTGCAATGGACAGTGACTTGTAGCATGTGCTTGCCCACCGCGTGTTCCCAGCGCGAAGTCTATAAGACTTAGCGGTAGCACTCTGTGTTCTGTTCGCGGGGGCTACGAACGGCAACCTGTCATAAGGTCGTGTCAAGCTACATTCGACCGTCTGATCTTGAACGAGAGTCCTTTCTTAGCCCTTCCTTTTTGCGATTTTCTCATCCTGCATGGAGTGCACTGACGCCGTCCTCGACACGACGGTGCAGGTACTCGTCAATCTGGGATGCTTCTCAGATCTCGAACGGAGCGTGGGCTGGTGAGCGGAACACACTTTGCGTATCCTTCTTTTACCGTTCTCCTTGCGCCGCAGCGAACAGGCTTCCATCATTTGACGCGACCTGCGAGCGAAGGTGTAGAGGGACTTCATTTGTATGTCGATCAGCGCGACGCTCTGGACAGGCTGAAGAGAAGCTGAAGTGGTTGTATGCTAGTATCAAACCGTCGGACTCATTGTCGAACGTTCCCGCTTCAAGTACAACTCTGCCACGTCCTTCTGGCGACCCTGAAACTTTAAAATAGAGTACCCAAATCCGTCCCTCCAGCCTCGTCAACTCTGATCACGATCAGCGGTCTTAACGGGGTCCGTGTCTAAGGACATGAGCATTCTCCAGAGTAGGGAGGTCGGCCTTGCACACCGGTTGAGCTTTCGAGGACCTCAGGACGCTAGATGTTTTGTTGACCGACATCCGACTGCCTTCATTTCTGGTCCCTAGCGAGCGTGAAGTTCTGGTGCTCCGCCAACTTGGGTACTGGATGTGTATCTTGACACCACGAGGGAAATCGTAACTGTTGAGCTGCTTCTAAGGATAGCAAATGAGCGTTCTCCTTCCCGGCGGACTTGAACTTGCTAGTTGAGCATCGTAGCGGTGGTTTGCAGCTTTCCAAAATCGGCTGCCTGCCTCTCTCCGGCCCTCCATGACTCCTGCTTTAACACCGGCCCATTGCTGTTCTCCCTGCAGGCGCCCCCAGCAGCAACGCGGATGCGCCCTTCAGCTTCCAGCTCGAGCGCATCTCCGCAGTCGAGCTGGCTGACCTGTCCTTCAACGACAACGTCACCGCCGCAGCCCCCGCCCCCGCCCCCGCCCCCGCCGAAGCCCCGCTGCCTGCCCCGCCCACGTCCACCGCCGCACTGCCCGTCCCTGTAAGCACGACCGCGTCGGTGCTGTCCCCGCCAGCTCCCGCGTCGCCCAACACGTGGGTGTACCCCGCGGCGCCGCGCGTGTCGCGCACCACGTTCGTGGTGGTCGTGTCGGCCGTCGCCGCCTCATTGGCGCTGCTGTTGGGCGCCTTCGTGTTTGCGGTCATCCAGCGGAAACGCGCGTTTGCGGCGCCGCCCGACGAGGCGGCGGCATGGAAGACGGACGCAGAGGCGGCGCGCGGGGGCGGGCTGCTGGCGGAGCCGGAGGGGGCGCCCGCACTGGCCGGCGCGGCAACGTGGCTGCACCGCCTGAGCCTGCGGCGCGAGACGACGGCGTTCAGCCGGATCCCGCCTCCCAAAAGCTAGGGATGCGGCATTGGAGCAAGGGTTGCAACCATCGGGACGGCTTATATGGGTGGTACGTTCAGCTTCATATACCACATGTCAAACAAACCGCCTGTTGACAAATTTGAACTACATACTTCCATTGTTTTTTTGGCCGTCAGTAACTTGGTGGTGCCCAGTCTTGATCGAAAGCGGGCAAATGGGGCGCTCATCGGATCCGACTGAAGAGGGCTTCCCGTCAGGGAAGTCGTGATTGGGTTGGTGCCAGCCGCTGAAGAGACGACCAGGGCGGTCAGCAGGATTCTGACACGGTTGATTATGGCTGAGCATTATGCACTTATAAGACGACTATATACTCCTATCACTTAGGGTAACTTAGGGTCGGCTCCTTCATGCGGATCGAGCTGTGTAAAGCCAGAAGGAACGGTCCAAGAACATGGCCGGTCGATCAGCAGATTACTGCTAAAGACCGTTTGATTATTGATTCTCTGCATTATAGGATTGTAGACACATACGTATTGTAGCTGTCACTGAACTGATCACAAATCTCTAGCTTAATGATCGATGCAGTGTAAAAGCGACGTATTACTGAATTGAAGCACTGCAAGGGCCACGCCAGATTGATGGCCGGGCATGCGAATCAGTACATGCATACGCCTCTTCAGCAGCTGGCACCACATGAATATAGGCGGATGCGGCCTATGGCCAGGCCCCGCTCGTGTGTAAGTCCATCAAATTGTCACTAGCCATGAGTAAGTTAGACCGAATGATCCATCATTGGCGTGATCATCCGCGCCAAACACGTACATGTACGGCATGCATCGATCATGCATAAACAAATATGTTTATGTTTATGTGTATATATTTACTGTCAAGTTATGTTATGTTGCATTCTCATATTAACATATACACAGGCTGGTTATATGCAGACCCTAGGTCTGCGACGGTCCGTCGACCGTCGGCCAACGGTTGCGCAGCCGTTGCCCGACCGTCGGGCAACAACTCCGCAGTACTGTCGCAAGTGTTGCGACAGTGTTACGACACTGCCTCGATCAGTAATTTGCCCGTAAATAGGGGCAAAATAGAAATTACACCGCGTTTCGAAGTCCCTCGAAGACACACTCTCTAATTCAAGACTTAAGTAGCCAAGGTATTAGAAACATAATGTAACTTACAGGAGACTGTGTCAATTTGGCATTTTCAGATGCGAAAGGTGTCAAGTCGCTTCGACAATGTGCTTTGTAGCCTTGAAAAAGTCGGGTGACGCAAATGCGGCGCGCGAGTTTGATGTCGGGCGATCGCCAAAATTGGAGTCTAGGGTGTTAGCTTTATAGATCTGAAATTTGACTCGGCCGCTCGGTTATGTCGTCCGCGTATATATTTCGAACGTCGAAAACGTACTTCGAGTGTTGCGAAAGCGTTGCAACGCTGTCGCAATGTTGTCGGGCAACTGTTGGCCAACAGCTGGGCAACAGTTGGCCGACCGTCGCGACGGAGTCGCAGAACCCAAATTTGCGTATAACCAGCCTGTGTATGGTGCATGTCGCGCGCGCAATCCTGCTATGCATGTCACTACAGATCAAAGCTAGATTGATAGCTAGATTGATTCTCGGGAAGGCCTTGTCCGGCCGGCCGCCGCCGGCCGGCGCGGCATGCGCACATATGATCACATGCATGGGACTCCGGGAGAGCTCAAGTTCAGCTAGGTCAATGTCGGTGTTGAATGAAACTTACTCATGAAACAGATCTGCGGAAATGCGGGGGCGCCCGCGCCCGCGCCATGCCAAATCAATCATCTCCAACAATCGCGCCGATTTTTTGCTCGCGAATATGTATACGGTAATATACCAGACTGGAGGGGGCCTGCGTTCACGCGGGTTATTGATCCAGACTCATTATCACGCGGAAGTGCACGACAAGAGGAGTGTTTTCAGGTATCGATCATGATCCATGGCCCGGGCCACTAGTCGGGCCGTAAAGCTCATCGTAGTTACCTTCAAGGTCGAGGGAAACTTGGTCACGAAAGGTTCCACATGCATTTGCGGTCACTGTTGATGGTAACTAGCTGAGCACGGTTTATTAACGCCCTTGGGCCTTGAGCTATACGTAATTGTGCCATGAGGATCGGGACGGTACAATGAGTTGACTCTGCAGCTTGCTTGGCTGCAAAGCCATGTCCAGAGTTGATCATAACCCACATTGAGCACTGGCACGTGACAGTCCCTGTGAGCTTCAACTCTTGTAAATGTTGTTTCAGGGGTGAAACAATCAAGGTCCACTGTTCAGCGCATCCAACTGTTTTTGTAAGTCGTCAAGAGATGTGTCTGTTCTGCCTACTGCTAGCTCCGCCAATGTGCTCTCGTCAACCTCGTCTCTTTTCGCCATCAAATATTGGATCCCGTCCGGAAGCGCAGGTGCAGCTTCTGCACAATCGGACACGCGCGCATGAGAATCTGCGGAAGTACGTCCAAGATGCCGGCTAAGCAGCAGATGCAATGACGGGGCGAAGACCAAAGAGGTCAACTCAAAAACTGTTCGATTACTTCCGTCTGTCGTTCGCTTACTTCCACCTGTCCTACCACGAATGATCCGCTACTTCGAAGGCTTGTCAGCCGGCCTGGACGCCCAACACGCCCCGAAGTCAGCAACCTCACTGCAAGCTCAACTGCCGCTTCTTCTCAGCACGAAGCTACCGACTCTCAATTAGAAAATACTGTCGGTGGGTTTCCCCCCCTGAAGGTTGCAGCGTCCGCTAATATGAAGCTCCAAGCATCCGTGGTCCATCCACCGGTGCAGGGAAGCACCTTGCCATTCCCCGTCTTTCGTTCTCACCTGTTGATCCGCTCTGCTGTCCGCTCCCTCCCGCGGCTGCCCCCTCGCCGTCCCCTTCCTCGACTGCGATGCCCCACTCGTTGTCGGCGTGCACCACCTGCGGCTCCTCCACTGCAGCAGCCGCGGCCTGGGCAGCCCGCGCCGCAGCCTCGCGTTCCGGCGCCAAAGCGGCGTACTCGGCCTGGCACGACAGCAAGGAAGACTCACACGAGCGAAAGAGTATGGACGCAGAACCGCTAGAAAAGCAAGACGCAGCTGAAAGTGTGGCGGGACTACGACTTAGAGTTGGTGCGGCTGCGAGCCGCTGGCCATCAGATGGATAAAGAGCGGGCCACGGAGTAATGACGAAAGGGAACGGGGGCCAAGCGGTTAGGTGCAAGCGGTTAGGTGCAGCTTCAACGCTTCCGAACAAAAGGCTTGAACATGGTCGCAGAGCAGGCACGCTGGAGGAGACTTCCTAAGGCAACTAAAGAGCAGCCGAGAAGGTGAACGGTTTGTGGCACAAGTAAAGCAGGGAGCTCTCGGCTTGAAACAAGGCTGGTAATCTCTGCCGTCCGCCACCAGGAAGGGGAGTAACGGCAAGCGATTCGTGGACAGCGTGTGAGAGTGCGGCCCCGACGAAGTATCAAGGTACTTCGAAGCGACCCCTGTCTATCATTGGATGCGCATCCCCTCCCCAACTTGTTTGCGGACGACAGGTATACAGACGCATAAAAACGAAGCAACGGGGTGGGAGCGCGCACCTGGCGGGCGCGGCAGGCAGCATTATCGCACTGCACATTGGGGCGCATCTCCATGGTGGGGAAGAAGTCCGCCAGCGCATTGTAGCCCTGCACCAGAAGTGATCGAGATTGGGCCGCACGCCACGGCTGCTGAAGCGAGCTCGGCAGGGCTATATGGTGCGTGGCAAAGATCAGCGATGGGGCCCCATAATCAGCTGATGGACGTGCATACGGAAGCGGAAGAGCCTCCTGAAACCAGGGGGACATGTCTCAACCCAGCGAAGGTGGAAGTCAGGTGGGGCAAGGTAAGAAAGCATACGGTGCAACGGGATGGTGGTAAGGGCACTAAGGAAGGCGTCTGAAAGGGCTTCAGTTGGCAATCAAGGCCAGCTTGCTCCAGCGGGGTGCAGCTTGCCAGGTAGCGCGAGACGGTGCCGAAGCGGAGGAGGTACTTCAGGCTATTTTGCACGAGCAGGCCGGCCACCATGCCCATCGTGGTCGGTAGCGACGCCGCGCACACGCCCTCGCGCTTCAGCGTGCGCTCGTCGATGCCGGAAGCAACCACCTGGAGCAACACAGACGCGCTGGAGTTCAGCCAGGAAGTGAGGAAGGGACGCTTCTGGCAGTCATTCTTCGCTTCAGCAGCACTTGCCAGAACTCCGAGTGGCGCCTGCTGTGAGGAACCGACTTACGAATTAATCAGGAAACTCAGCGCTTCCGACCTTGGCCTGCCAAGGGAAGGAACCCACGGCTCTTTCAGAACCTGATGATGCGAACGCAAGAGACAACGAGCGACTCAAGGCTTCCTGGCACAGACTCCTCGTTCAGGTAGCCAAGAGAAGCCCCGATAACCAGATAATCATTAGCCAATCTTGTTACGAGTCGCAGGTTCTCGGTTCCTCAGAGATAACATGGTCGAGGTATTTCTTCAAAAGCAACGGAGCAGTCGACTCAAAGAGAGTAACAAAGAGAACATTTGTATGATCCTTCTCTACATGCTTTTGCTCATCTTCCTTGGAAAAGCTCTGCAATGAAATCCCTGATAGGCGTCATGCGAGCAGATTTGAAAATCAAGCAGAGAACAGCCCCTATGTGTTTGAGAATCACCCCCGCTGTTGCGCACAACGATTGCTCACCAGCGGCGGCACACACGCGAAGCAGGCGGTCTCCCCCGGGAGCAGCAGCTGGATGTGGCCCGACACCGCGTCCTCCGACACGCCGCTCTCCATCCACGGCTGGCCCAGCTCGTTGCACGCCTGCAGGCCGCCACAGCAGCACGTTATCAACAAACTACCCCGGCCAGTCTGAAGATCCGGCACAAGTGCGGAGAGGCAGTCTCGCCAGGAGAAGACAAGAGAAACGATCGGTGTTACAGGTTTGACTTCTTGGCAGTCGCCATCACTGTAAAATATTCACATAGGATAGTCTTACTTCGTCGAGGGATCTCACCTGGTTGATTGTCATCCGTGCCTCGTAGTTATCGACACAACTCTGCACCGACAGGCAAACAATGTTTAGCTTGCAGACATGCTCCGAGACTGCTCACCCGTTGCTGGCTTTTCAGAGTATCTTAGTAAGTTACCTGAAGACTGGAGAAAGTCCTCGAGCGCAGGTAAGGAGGAGGTGATTGGTATACCGGACAAACGATTGTGAGAGACTATGCGGTCATTTCTGCCTCACGGATCATTTCCCTGTGAAAGAAGAGGCAAACAGCTGCAAACGGAACCTTAAATTTACAGCTGCTCTCGACAGTTCCAGTCGACACAGCATGAAGCGAGGAGAAAGAACAAATGTAGAGGCGTCGAGGCCCCTCCCCTCATCGCGATGACCCGAGTCGCCCTCTCACCAGGACGAGGTCCACCCGGCTGCCCTTGCCGCGCACCGGCCCTCCCGGCAGAGGCGGCTCTGCCTGGAACCCCAGAGGGGCCTGAGTCAGGCTGCGCACAAAGCCCTCGAAGCCGTCCACCGTTGTGATGTTGCTCGTGAAGCTCTGCAGAAGCCACTGTCCATCGTGAGAATCTGACAGTCACCACGAGGAGGAGAATTTCTTGCGGGTCAAAAGCAGAAATTTGAATCTGCTTCGGACCCTCAAGGTCACTTCTGCCCTCTAGTCAAACAATCTCGTGGAACGACCCTCAATTGGAAAGGGCAACGAAACGGGCAGATTGCCCCCGCTTCTATGTAAAGCTTCGTTGATGCTAAAGTTCGAATATCGTTTCTGATACCACAAACGGGTGCTCTTGTCACCAGTCACTTCTTCTACCAACATGGCACAACCAGCTGTTTCGTGCTGCCCCGCTCACCTCCAGCTCCACATCGGGGTTGATCTCCGCCAGCGTTTTGGCAGCAGCATCTGTCTTGGTCATGCCCACCTTCAAACGTGGAGAAAAGCGAAGCCTCAGAGGAGCATAACAAGCGCTTGTCGACTTAAGACCACCTTTGACAGGGAACACTTTAGGAGGTCTGGTGGGATCTATGCGACCTGACTTTCGGCTTGGAGTTAAGAGACGTTTTGTCTCAACGACGGATGGCCTAAACAGAAGCCAGGGCCACTTTTACCTCAACACCATACCGACCCTGCACAAACCTATCGAGTCATTCTGTCCAAAGCTCGCTGGCTTAGCTGACCAGGGGGCGCTCACGTGCTCGGGGCGAAAGAAGAGGCGATTCATGTTGGCTAACTCGACAGTGTCGTAGTCATACAGCAGCAGCCGCCCGATACCACAGCGTGTCAGCATCTCGGCTGCAACGCTGCCGACGCCGCCCATCCCCTGCCAGAGACAGGATCAGGGGGTGATCACAGGGATCAATTACACCTGACCACATTGATTGCCGCAGCAATGACCGGCTGTCAAGTCTGGCCGCAGTTACATTCTGACAAAGCCAAGCGTCACCATTTGCGACCTTAGAGCACAAGGACACTGGCAGACAAAGCCAATCAAGGTAGTCTTCTGTTTCTTGTGAGGTGAAGAACTTGTTGAAGAACGGTGTACCTGTCAGACATCCTCAACGTGTCCAAGCAGCTTTCAAAACAGTCTGCCAGAAAACATCCCAGAAAGCATCCCAATTGAGCTGCTTGTAGAGAGTTTGGGCCTCGGGCAAGCGCTGAGGCCGTCAGGTAGCGCCCGCCCCGCCTGTAGCCTGGGAGGGTGTCCTCACCACAATGGCCACTGTGAAGCTGCGGATGTCCTGGTAGTTGGCCACGATGCCCATCCGCTGGAGGGCCATCAGCCGACTGCACAAGAGCGACGGACAGCCTGCTTAGTCCTGGACGAAGGGTGCAATCCTTCAGGGCAAAAACCCCGCTGCCAACATAAACATGCTCGGCCTCTGCCAATGAGCAAGCTCCTCACCAAGCTTTGCCTTGGCACTCGTAAGGAACAGGGGGTAGGTAAAGAACGGCCCGGCCAGAGTTTGTGATGTTGCTCACCTATATGGATTGCTGTCCACCACCTCCGCGCTCATGGCCTGCAGCACAGAAAAAGGCAAAAAGTATGTTTGCAACCGGCTGAGATTGTTTGCAAAGCCACGCCACCGTTTCTGAGGAAGTACCAAGAGCATTTTCCACAGCCTCACCGGTTTTCTGTTCACTTCCTTGGCGCTCAGATGACACATTTGGCTGCCCCTTGATTCGGTTGGAGATTAAAGCCCCAATCTCTTCCAACCAACCACTCCGAAATCGTTGCAACTTTCAATTGGTGGGACATTATAAAAAAACTGTACCTGAATCTTGCCCCGCGGCTTAGCGCCTGCATTGTCCACCGCTGCATTGCCTTTGTCCCCATGTAGCAACGCCTCCCGAACCTGAGGGGGGCAGAGGAAGGTCTGTCAGTTCTAATCATCACTTAAACCTGATGGACACGACCAACTATCTCGTTATTATGTACTGCCCTTTTGCAGCTGACGAAGAAAGAAGAGACAGGGGCTGTTCTTACCTTGTCCTGATCAGCGGTGGAAAGCGCGCCAAACGCGGCAACGACAGAAGCAACCTCGGCAGCCATCGCGGTGTTTCTGAGCGCTGAACGTCAAGGATCTTCCTTCCTCTTTTCAACGTATCCGCCCCACATCTCAGGCTGGCAGGAGGGAATTGAAGTTTGGTGTTTGAAGTTTGGTGTTGCAGCAAAAGCCCTAAAATTATATATAGCCTATAGGGATCAGGGCAAAACCCTAAAATCCCGACTCAGCTTTCAACTACCGCGTAGGTTTCTTTTCACTCCCTCAGAACGCTACATTGTCATTACTCATGAGCACCAGCGCATGTCTTCTTTGGGGAGAAGGGCTTTCAGTTTTGCAAGTTGTTGGGTCCTCGACTTAGACTTACTTCCTCCACGTAGCTGGTGGCAGCTAATGCAAGGACGGAGGGCGCCATGCTGCGCATCTGCCTGCAAAGGAGGGGTTCTTTTGCAGCCACCGTAGCGGAGCGCCGCCACTGGTGCGTTCACATGACGGGCTCCTGCACATTTGCTTCTTTCTTAGCTCATTGTGTTTCTACAGTTCACCGAAACAAGGGCAGATATCTCATACAGAGAGAGTTGGATCAGGGAATCAGATGAGTCGTGGGATTATCATTGGCTTTAGCAGCATTTGCAGTGTTCCTTTGTAATGTTTTCTTGCAATTAGCCCAATGCTCAAACATTAAGCTCCTATTTGCAGCGACAGAGCCTACTTTCTGCATTCTCATTCCCTGCATTGCCCTCTGCTTGTGCCATGGCAGCTCCCAGCTTTTTGACAAGGCACAAGACCCCACTGATTGAACGCAGTCTCCTGTTGCAGGCCTAGATAGGGCGCCCGGTGGCCACAATGCCGTCGTCCGCCCTCGCTCTTCTGCCTCAACAACATACACTGTTACCGAGGCAGCTGTCGGGATGTTCAAGCTGTAGCACCCAAAGTACACAGAAGTACATAGGGCCTCCTGCAACGCAAGCACATTTGAGTAGCATTCAAACGTCCCAGTTGCAATGTAGGCCTCAGGAGACCCCAAATGTCAGGTGGAGGACAAGAATCCTGTACAGGCGCCATGGAACATGTCCAAGATTACTGCGGCATTGGGCGGAGGGTGTTAGGGATGCCGGGAAGGCTCCCAGGTCAAGCGTCCAGGTAGGACTCAGAACTGAGCAGGAAGGCTGGGGTGGGCCTACACTGCAGTGCCTTGAGAGCCTGCTCTCGTGCTCGTGTCCCCTGTGCCAACTCTTGCCTGGTTTTTGTGCCCTGCCATCATCTTGGAATCCAGGGTAAGTCTCAGAAATTGCGCCTGCTTTGACCACCCAGTATTTGGGCCAGCAGAAGCAAGGAGCATTCCCAACCTGACGGCGCCCTTACTGGATTATGGTGGAAGCTGAAAAGCCTAATCATGCAACCTTAGAATCAGCCGACTCAATCTGACGGGTGCTCACGACTTTGCATTTGCAGGATGGTGGCAGGCATGGGGGAACGAGCAATTTGTCAGGGACTTTGCTCATTGATATTTCTGAGCAGACAGCAACAACGCAGGGTGGCATGAGCGAGGGGGCGGGGCAGCAGGACCAGAGCGAGCCGCAGAGGGGGGAAGCGTTCAGGATAGAAACGGTGCTGCACAGCGGGGACCAGCTCAGGCGAGGAGATGCGGGTGCGGCCGACAGTTCAGCTGTAGATGGGGAAGTTGGTTCAAGGGAACAAGAGGGCGGGCCGCTTCCGGCAGCAAGCGAGCATCACCAAGAGCAGCGCGGGAGCGTGGTGACTCTGGAGTCGGTATCAGCGTGCGCCGGAGACGGGCCAGAGTCATATGGGGAGACATCGGAGGGAACAGCTTCTTCCAAGCTCGAAAGGACAGATTCGGCTGTGCATAAATCGAGCGAATGTTCAGAACCAGGGGGCCTTGATCAAAGACAGGCAGAAACGTCGCAAGGGCAGGAAATGAGCGGCCCCTCCGAAAGCAGTGGGGAGCCTCCAGCGGGGGGTCCCGAGGAGTCGAAGGAGCGCTCGCGGGATAGCAAGCACGTGACGGCAGCGTGGGAGACGCTAGTGCGGTGGGGCCGCTTTTGGCGCAACCTGCACAAGGGGGACGTGACGGACGCGCTGACGCGCACGTCCAAGATCTGCGTGTTTGGGGGGGGGTCGTTCGGGACGGCGATGGCGGTGATGCTGGCGCGCAACAAGGCCAGCCTGGACGTGGTCATGCTCGTGCGGGACCCGCAGCTGGTGGCGTCCATCAATAGCAACCACCTCAATACGCGCTACATGCCCAACCACCCCCTCCCGCCCAACGTGCGCGCCACCACGGACCCCGCGGAAGCCATCGAGGGGGCCCAGTACGCCATTCACGCCGTGCCCGTGCAACAGAGCGCCGCGTTCCTGAAAAGCATCGCGTTGCTCATCCCGGCTAGCCTGCCCATCGTGTCTGTCAGCAAGGGGCTCGAAGTGTCGACGCTGGAGACAATGGCGGAGCTCATCCCGCGCGCGCTGGGGCGGAAAGGGCACCCCGTGGCGGTGCTGTCGGGGCCGTCGTTCAGCGTGGAGCTGATGGACAAGAAGCCGACGGGGCTGGTGGCCGCGTCGCGGGACCCGGAGCTGGCGCGCGCGTGCCAGCAGCTGCTGGCCTCCAAGTACCTGCGCATCAATACCACCAGGTGAGACAGCATGCGGCACTGGCACAATGGGAAGGCACATGTCAATCCTGGACAAGCCAGAGCAAAGGAGGGAGGGGCAGAACTCGCTTCCGTAGGGGAACCTACAAAGATGAAGTTGGAAGAAGAGAGAGACATCTGGGCCAGCAGGAGTAAGGGGAAGGAGTAGAGCGCCGCCACTCCTTTCCGCCACCACCAGACACCGGTGACAAGCACCTAGTGGCTTGGGTTCAGGGGTCATACTTGATTATGTCATGCTTCCGTTCAAGACTTCGTAGTAGCATAGCTGGGCCAGTAACAATCCGTAAATGTATCACAAATCCACACCTGACAGTCTGACCTTCGTTTCGCAAGTGGTCGTGCGGCTCCCGTTGCATCCTTGGCCAAGGAGAAAGCTTTTAGGGCGGGTCAGGGAACGTCATAAACGATTGAAGAGATGCCTGCGAGCTCAGGCAAGAGGCAGGTCCTTGGGTCTCTCCCTTCCTGGAGAATGTTTGAGACTATTTGAGACTGGACCGCACAAATGATTGTAGCAAGTCGGACCTTCACCGGCTGCTGACACCCCAGGCGTGTTGGTTCTTAGCTCACTTGTCAGAATCATGCGCTTCTTATCGAACGAGCCAACAGATTGGAAATCTGGCCGACACTGTTATAAGATGCTACCAAATACGGGCACGTGTGGCCTTTCTCTCCGTTCCACCCTGGCCTCTGTCTCACTTGCTGCTGTGATGATGAATGCAGGGACGTGCTGGGCGTGGAGATGGCGGGCGCGCTCAAGAACGTTCTGGCCATTGCGGCGGGCATCGTGGAGGGCATGGGCCTCGGTAACAACTGCATGGCCGCGCTCGTTGCGCAGGGCTGCGCAGAGATTCGCTGGCTCGCAGAAAAAGTGAGGCGCATCGTTCTAAAACAGACCTTGCCCATCCAAACTGTGAACATTGTTTTTGCTGTTGAGGTACACCAATCGAAGTGTGTCCGTGGGGTTTCCCTGATGGGGGCATCTTGTTCTTGACGAGCAGTAAATAAGAGACAGTCATTCTTGAAGTCCTGGGTCGGCTCTCGGTTTTCAACAAACTCATGTCCGTCTGCTTCCTTCTTGAATTTCGCACTTTCCACCTCACGGAGCGAGTGTAATTGAGGAGGCGCCGTACACGATATTGACCTCAGCGCCCTAGTCCTCAGGACGTCGTCGTCTCCTTTATCGATCAAGTTTCTTCCGAGCGGCTCCAGCCCAGTTCTCCTGTGTTTCTCTTTCCTTTTGAACCGCTGACGGTTCTTCATGCAGAGACAACGATTACTCATGCCCACTGTGGCTTGGCGCAGCACGCCGCATGGACTTCCGCCAAATTTTCACATCTTCCTGTGGACCAGATCTCCTTAACGCCGTTCCCTCGCTTTGCGAAGAAGCACGAATGACATACTTTCTCTTGTTCCCCAGATGGGCGCTAAGCCCGCCACCTTGGCCGGGTTGTCTGGTACGGGTGACATCATGCTGACGTGCTTCGTTAGCTTGTCGCGGAACCGCTCCGTGGGGGTGCGCCTCGGTTCCGGGGAGAAGCTGGACGACATCCTGGCGTCCATGAGCCAGGTGCGGCCCCTGCGGCCCCTTCCTTTGTGCCCTTCGCGGCGTCTGCCTCCCCTCCGAGCATCTGAGAAGCTCTAACAAGTGCTGCTGCTGGTTTGCGGATGGTGTTCCTTGTGTTTCTTCAGATTGTTCGCCACGTTGGAGGTGTTAAAACAACCAAGCCGGCTATCGTTCTTTGCAAAAATAGGACCATCTAAGACCCGTCCGACGTGAAAAGGACTTGCGTTTCTTCGTTAGAGGCCTCGTGTCATTCGCCTTGCTGGATAGTGGCGTCTGCCTTCATATCGCACTGGCGGCAAAGTAACACAAGAGGAGTCAATGGAGGACGCTAGCCAGCGCAAAGCACGTCGACGTCGCGCCTCATAATCAATGTCAGTCTGCCCAAAAGATTCTGTTCGGATGCTTTGTTAAAGCTGACCGCTCTTTCAGGTCGCAGAGGGTGTCGCCACAGCGGGGGCGGTCATTGCGCTGGCGCGCAAGTACCGGGTGTCCATGCCCGTGCTGACCGCCGTCGCACGGATACTCGAGAACGAGCTGACGCCGAAGAAGGCGGTCCTAGAGTTGATGAGCCTGCCGCAGGTAGAAGAAGTCTGAAGGCACAGCCTAGGCGGGGGGTCCTTTGTCCATGCCATTGGCCACTTCTGACTTTCAAGTGAGAGCACGAGCCTTGCTTAGGGAGCGTGCATGGGCAAAGTTCGATTTTTAGGAATATTGACGTAGGCCTAGGCACATTGTCGTACGCAACCGACACTGCCCAAGCGTCGCCTTGATTCCAAATTGCAGTTACCATCGGAAGAAACGCCGTACTAGAAGGGCTAATCACCACCATCGGAGTGTCATAAGTATTCTTTCGTTGACTAGCGTGCGTTAGCTGTGAAAGCTTGAGGGCAAGGAGGATTGCGGACAATGAGTTACATTATATTATTCAACATCGATTGAGGACCTTCGCTTCAATACGGTCACATCACTGCATGCCGGCCGGGGCAGATTGCTTCGATCGTCTGATGAGCTACCTGATTGAGCAGATAAGAGGCGATCATGTAGGTTATATCCGGGCCCAGATTCTGGCGGCACGTTGCTAGGGGCGAAATGGCTGGGACTTAATTCGGCATCGAACACAGCTCGTCGAACGTTATAAGGTCTGTGCTACATGCAAATTTGTGATATCACCACACGATTAGGGTTTAATTCGTCTATAACTTTCTCCCGGGTTCCGGCAATCATTATCGGATTGCTATCTTGTCCTGCATCCGAGGTCGTTTCGCGGACTGAAAGGGACTAAGGTGGCGTTCTAGCGCGCGCATTCTTCTGCACCTTAGGGGCACAGATTTGAGGATTCGAAGCCGGGACGCCCTGAAAGCCCGATCAGCACAAAAACTGCACTTTACTTAGATTGGGCAAACGTATATATAACCATGCGTGTGATGTGGTCCAGATGTACTCTCAACATGCATACCACGCCTGGGTTCATGTCGCCCTCGAATTCGATACTCTGTTACTGAAATTATCGGCCCGGGCCGGATATATCGACATATAACCGTCGGACATGTCGACATGAGAGGGAGTTGATGAGCAATACCTTTGTACACGTGCAAATGAAAGATCGGACTCCCGGTTCGGGACTGGGAGTTGCTTCAGGACCAGCATATTTAAAGGATTTGGTATGCATCGGACCTTGGCAATCTCACTATACACATATCTGGCATGAGCCTGTGATTATATACCGTTGCGCATGGCAAGATCGAACGCGGGCATCACACGTATGGAGTCAATCACGATCGGCTCTTGATTGTGCATCATGCCAAATGGATGCGCACATGCTCAGCTCCAGCTAGGCTGTCCAAGGAGGTTAATCATGATGAATCTGATTGAAGGCTCCGAGCTAGACATGATCTCGCCGCGACTATTTAATTGGCAGGGCTGCCACCGAACCAAGTTGCATGGCCTCTGGCACGAGTTCCGGGCATGCACTCAATGCGTCTCCGTGCTAATTTGTGCAGTACCTTCGCGAGTCGAAGACGCACCGGCCCCAGGCCGCTTCTTGGATTCCGTTCCACTTCACTCTCGCGATATGCTCAAGCATGCACGCGTTGGCGCCGTGAAGTGGGGCCCTTAAAGGCAAATCACTGCCTCTCGAATGTCACGCTCTGCACGCCTGCACCACGCACCCCGAAAAATCGTGCATGTAACCCGCTCGGTTAGTTCTGCGCAGGCTGGTTTGCGTACTCGAAATCCAGTCGCTTAACCAACTCTCATCGTCATTCCGCCTATTGAGCAGCCGCCTTTTTGTAACCACATCTCTGAGATGCCTTCACGTAAATGCACTCTGTATTCCGATTGGTTCCAAAGTAATTGTCCGAGCCTGCCTCTATAGCAAGACCTCTCGTGTACCCGGACATTGATACTGCTCTTTGGCCCCTCAAAACTCCTGCGGTGGTGTTCAGAAGGCCATAGTGGTTTGCAAGAATTGAGTTGCCAGGCTCGTCCGGCACTCGCACAGTATGTCGACGAATTTGCAGTAGGTGTCTGGAGCTTGGAGCCTGACAATACCCGGCATCTACTCAGGCTGTGCGCGCGAGCTCCTCAACTGCTCAACAAAAAGACGGGTTCTGTCAGCTTTAAATTAGGCTAGCGCCCATCTGAGCTGTCTAACAGACGAATCGCTTGAGCGAGGAAGTGAACGAGGAGATCTGGCAGGAGGACGCGAGGTCTTGCTCGACACATTGTATTCGACGAGGAATGCATTACAGCTTGTCGTCCAGAGTGGCTCGTCCATCGCTTCAACCCATGCAAAGTATCCTGTTTTCGTAGCGTCCCCCAGCGAGACTTGATCAAGACTGCAGGGGTGCTTTAGTCAGCGCACCCGTCATTTCAATTTTACCAGACGCGCTCTGACGCCATGGCGCGGTTTGCCGTTCTGGCCCTTCTGGTCGCTCTTCTCCTGGCGGGGGTCTGCTGCGGCATGGACCTGGTCCCCCGCGGGCCGACCGAGATCCTCAAGACCGAGGGCGGGTGCATCAAGCAGTGGGAGCCGGACAGCGCGCTGGGGCACTACGCGGCGGCGGGTGCGGTGGAGGTGACACTGGAGCCGCAGGGGGTGCTGCTGCCGCGGTACATGAACACGCCGTCGCTGCTCTACGTCGTGGAAGGTGGGGGGGCACAACATTATGTTGCAAAATGGCCGCATGACACAGTTTTCATCTTCATGGTTTTTTCAGGGTGTGGGTTGCGTGTGGGCTGCGTGATGCACAAGTTTGGCACTTTTCTGTGAACGGTTTGATCGTATGTAGTTATCTGCAGATTGCGGTGTACTCACAACTCGCCTTCGTAGCCATCAAGCATGTGCATTTCGTTACCTAGGTTTTGCTGATTATCAATCAGTGAGCACTGAACAATGGAGTCAACGGGTGTCCATCTATAGGACTCACATACTTTTTCTCGATCACGAGTTGAAAACCTGAAAGCCTGTTTGGGTTGCTGCGCTTGTCACTCTAAGATGCTGAGCAGACCAACTCATCGCGCTTTGCATTACTGTGTCGCATCTTTTGAAGCAGGAACGCCTCCTTCTTTTCATTCTACGTATTCTAATTTAGCCAAATCTGCCCTAAAGGCACATGACTCGTGTTGCTGAAAGAGCGACCGTCACAAACTTGCACCCTCATGGAGATCATATGGGAACCAAGCGAGTTTCGTGTGCGAGACTGCCGTAACGGGTGCCCACCTGATTGCAGGGAGTGCCATGGCCCGGCTGGTAACTTCCCTGGGCCCCAGCAATCTGCACCGGCTGCATCAGGGTGACGTCGTGGCGGTCCCCGAGGGCTTTGTGCTCGGAGTGCACAACGACGGCCAAGACAAGTTCCGGGCGCTGGGCGTGGCGGATCTCAGCAACACGCGGGGGAAAGGGGCGATGAACGCCTCGGTGAGATGAAAGCAAAGAGAAAAGGTTGCTAATTCAAACCACACGAGTAGAAAGTGTACTCTGCAGCTCAGTTCCAAGAATCTAGAACAAGGGCGAGGTGGCCGGGCTGCTTCAGGATAGCTCAAGTGTTGGCACACGAAGCTCGTGTGAACAAGCAAACTTACGGTCTTCCGAAATAAGCAGAGCGTTTCGGGTTGAATTTAGGCGCGAGCGACATTTAGTTAGATTGGATTGTATGCTCAAGCTGGCGGATGGAACGAGGAAAAGTGTTTTTCAAGTGGGCCACGTCCAAGTTCCGTTGACGACCTCCGGGGGTGACCTGCGAGCTGGTTGGAGCTTTCATAACCAAGATCTTGGGGTTGCGGGAGCATAAAACTTCTCCATTTTTGGCTCCGTTGTTTTCCGGTTATCAGGCGTATGCACCTTCTTCCTTCAGCTTGGTGACCATCGCAACTTTCTGCGCAGATCTTCTTCCTGTTCGGCAACCGCGAGGACGAGACTTTGGCGCCGGTTATCAACGGCTTCTCCAAGGACGTGCTCGCGGCCGCGTGGAACGTGGACGAGGCGACGGTGGAGAAGCTGCTGACCAGCCAGAAGGGCGCCGGCATCATCAAGGTCGAAAAGAAGGAGAGCGCGCGCGCGCCCGCGGAGCCGGAGCCCAACACGTTCTTCGGCGACTTCAGCTTCAATTTGGAGCACACGCAGGCGGAGGTGGTCACCCGCGGCGGGTCTCTCAACTTTGTGACCAAGTTCAAGCTGCCCATCCTCGAGACGATTGGCCTGAGTGCCGCGCACACGAAGCTGAAGCCGGTAAGAGAATGTCGTCTGAGGTCAAGAGAGATCGAGGAAAAGATGCCGTTTCATCGCTTTGCGTTTGCAAGCCCTCAGCGTCTCCCATCCTGTCGAAGGCAGCTGAATTTTCCAGGCTTCCCGGAATCACAATGGCGTTTTAAACCCGACGTATCTCACATCAAGCCGCGTCGAAGGCAAGAATCAAGGGTGTTATGCAATTTTCCGTTCGTATCTCAATCGCCATACCACAGAGCAATTGTTCATTTCCTGCCGTCGACTACCGTTCCGCCATCTCGACAGTTGTGGTATCGGCACGAACATGGAATCAAGATAGGACTCAGTCGTCGAACTTCACGATCAAAGGCGGGCAATTGAGCTGTCGTCACCACCTTGACGCAACCTTACACCTCCGCCTCCATCAGAGTCTCAAGTGGCGCTTCTAGTATTGGTTGATCTTATCCAAAGCCCTTGCAATTTCTGCTGAAGCACTCTTTCCATCTGCGCAGGACGCCCTGTTTGCTCCTACGTGGTCCGCGAACGCGCACCACATCGTGTACTTCACCCGGGGCAAAGGCCGCATCCAGGTGGCCGGGCCCGGGGGAAAGACCGTGCTCGACCGGGCGGTCGGAGAGGGCGACCTGGTTGTAATCCCCAAGCACTTCCCGGCCGCCAAGCTGGCTGCCCGGGCCGCCCCGCTGGAGTGGGTGGACGTCATGACCAGCCCCGCTCCGCTGTCGTTCTTCCTGGCGGGGGCCAACTCCGTGTACAAGGCCTTCCCCTTCGACGTCCTCGTGGCGGGTGAGCCGGCCGACCCGTCATCGATTACTGGACAAAAATGGTTGTGAATCAACTGCACTTGTAGCCGAGGATGGATGGTGTTACAACAGGTTAATCTGCCATTCTGGTCGGTTGGGAAGAAAATGCGGATCCAATAGGGAGGAATTGCAGAAGAGTTCTTCATTTGCGGGTTCGGGAGCTTCAACGGTTTCAGTGAAGGAAAGAAGTGTTAAAACATACCAGAGGATTTTAAAATCCTTTACTCTGCACCCTTTGATACCAGACTCCAGTTCTTCGATTTGTTCCTTTTAATAGGTATATCATGGGCTCTCAAACGAGGCGTCGAGGTAACGTGACAATTCCCAGTTCCTTACTTCTTTCCAATAGGCCAGATATTGTTCGCCTGCTGCAGGCTTCAACGTGGACCCCGAGGTCGAGAAGAAGGTGCTCCACGCGCGCGCCCACGAGGCCATGATCTTGACCCGCCCCAAGAAGAGCAGCGTGCTGTCGGCGGCGGACGTTGAGAAGGCGGCAAGCGACTTCTTCGATCACGCAGTCAAAGGGTTCTTCGATATGTAGACGCATGCAGGGAGAAGGTATGTACAGATCTAGATCTCGGGATGAGTAAGGTTTGCTCGTCCAACCCTTAAGTCGCTTTCGAAAGCGCCCTGGCGTTTGTTGAAGAGATTTTGAACACCATGAGAGTGGTAGTATCGACAATGGACGAGAGCTTTCGTGGGTGGTAAAATCCGTTTGTATACATGGTTTCCGCCCGAGTCATCAGCTCTCTGCTTGTATGGAGTACGAGCGTTTCTAATTTGAGGAGATCATTGCGCACGGATACAAACAATTGCGCTGCTGTGGGCAACTGGATAAGTTGGCAGATCAATCCGATGTCAGCGGTGGGTTGAGATGAGCTTCGGCTTAAATGATGAGCCGATGGTGATGTTCTAGCTTGAATTTACTTTTCATTTGAATTTCAAGTACTGTGCGCGCGGCATTGAATGATTGGGCCAAGCCTTTCAGTAAATGCATAACGCATACATTGAGAAGTCTCTTCAATATCGACTTGATGTGCACAACTTCAAATTATCGGGAATACTTCAGCCGTGCAAGTGTTGAAGACCGTCACTTCCGATCGTTTAATATCATGCGCATGCCAGGCCGGGAGATGATTCTGCCACGGCGGCAGCTGCGAGCTGATAACGTTCGTATACCAATTATTGATCGATCCAACATCCGCCTTGCCAGGCAATCGCGGTGTGATGATGGCAACGGTTTCTAAGTTCGATCCATATGCCATGGCGGCATGGGTGCACGTATGTACAATATCAAGTCACCGGCGGCCGGTGTACGTTGCAATGCAATTTGGTGAATCCAATTTTGATCGTTCTCATAACATACGCGGAGCTTCAGAGTTTATAACTTATTGTTTTGCACTGGCACGCTAACTTTGCACCCTGGACTCACCTATCTAAGCGGCGGCGCTAAGGCCGCTAATGCAACCGCCATGCACGGCTGCCAGTGGCCCGCCGACATGCCGATATATCAAGCAGGCACTGACGCGGCTCGTACTGGAGGCATGCATATGGGGTTCAATCAACTTACTAATGAACGCGATTCTGCGCCATGAGCGACCATGACGAATTATTGAACACACATGTGCTACTATACTTTGTCGTAAAGTATTTTGAGTACTGTACATATATATGCGCAGCAGACTCAGTGGGCGGCTCGCGCTGGCGTTTCAAGTTTTGTCGTCGGAGCACCGGCTCTCGCGAAACTACAAGTTCAACATAATCGTACATGCACGTACTGGGAAGATGAAGACGCATTTAACACTGGCTCAGTGCTCGTCCAATCAGGTTACTCGTAGAGCCGTGCGACAGCTGCCGTCATGTAGCCAGGAGCGCCAGACTTACACACACCCGAGCGGAGTCGGACCGAACTTAAAGAAGAGACCCTTTTCAACCGAATGGCGCCCCCCCTTGTAAGCTGCATCATCAAGACCAGTACTGCTATAATCAACAGCTTGCGCTTGCAACGTTGAAGATCGAATCATGAATCGACCTTGTTTTGCGCGAGTGGACCGTACCTGGCTGACGAGGTATTCTGAAGATCAATGTTGATCTTCAGGGTACTCACAAGTACGACGCAACGTTCGAGTCAATTCCACGCAAAGCTTTTGTTCTATGGCAAGGGACTGTACTAGAAACTTGGCACAAAGTCGGGATGTCCGACACGAACCTACGTTCATTCATGCTGGCAACTTTATGAAGGCCGGAACTGGTGTCTGTCTTTGCAGATCTGTTCCATCCAATGTTCCAACATCCACAATCTGCTTGTCATCGTTTGATTGTCTGAGACAAAGCTCTAAATGAGCCGCAGCTATTCCTAATCTATCAGGATCACTCCCGGTTCCCTGCAAGATGAAGAAAAGTCGGCTTATTCAATTAAGCAGACACTTTTGAATTGAGAAAGAAGTTCCAGCTTCAAAGTGCCAAAGCTGGCAGCAATGACGATGAGAACCAACATGATTTGCGACTCAGAAGATACGGTCGAAATGGTTCTATCGCCTGCTTCCAGCTTGCCAACACTCGTGCCATGCCAAGACAATGACTCTCGAAACAAGGCTCGTTAAGAGGGTCCTGCGCCTACTTTTGAGAGCTGGCGGCGGTGCCCTTTCTGGCCTTAGCAGGGGAAGCCGTGGCGGCCGGCGCTGGCGCCTGGAAATACGAGAGCCGGGATCAGGGGGGGCGACTCACTCTTTCTGATTTCAAGCACCTGTTTCTTGCCCGAGGACGGGCCCGGGGAAGCAGCCGCAGCCTGCCACAAACAGCGCAACGCTTTACTCGAGGGAATTACTTAAAGAAATGTGCTTCGCAAGGAGGACGATTCGACAACAGAGCAGTATAATCCTCACACGTCCGCCAGCACGAAAGCGTGAAGTGCGCTCTGATCAAGATGCACACGCGTTTGCAGCAGCAAGGAGGGGTCGTAAGAGACTGCAGCTCGGGCCTCCCTTGGGCCCACACAGTCTCTTCTCGCAACACTGATGGAGCTTCAAAGAAATTTGCAGCTTTCAAAAACACGAGTCCCCCGACGCTGATGAAATGCAAAGCCCAAATGGTAGAGCAACAAAAACGGGCTCGTCTCGCCCACGTGCATGACATACGAGGCCAGAATTTGCCCCTGGCGAGCCTCACAAGGTCCTTCTCGGGATTGGTCGCTAAGCAGGCCACGCTAGTCTTTACTCTGCGTTCGCAAGTCCGCAATCCGCTGACTCCGAGGGGAGCGCTTTGACCAAACCCAAGCACCCGGCCTTACGAACGGCACGGCGAAGAACGAGGGTCCTCAAAGGGGTATCAAACACTTCAGACGTTCAGAACGGGCCGTGCTTAGCCGCACGCGCTTACTCACCGGCGCACTCGGGCCTGCTTCTGTGCCGTTCTCGTCCACAAGCCACATGCTGAGCTCGTCCCACTCCATCTCCTCGGCATCGCCGTCGTCGTACTCCACCTGCGCATGCGCACCGCGGCTGACACGCGACCACAGACCCACCGCAATTGTCCTTAATTTGGCCTCGACTACCTCTTGAAGAAAGCGGCTCTCCAATCGACAGTGGAAGGCTTCAAGATTCGCGGCCACAAGAAGGAAGCCGTTTCAATGAAGGTCGTCGTCATTGACATGTGGAGGTCACAAAGCGGTGGAGATGTTCTCCTGGTCAATCACCCAAGATCGCTTTAGCGCAAGCTCGGCCCTGCGCTAAACACAAGAGAGCCGTTCCGATCCAACACTCACGCTTAGAACCGTACCTGTCCCCCGGTCGCACGTCCTGACGACTTTTCGATGCCAAGCAACGCTCCCGGAGCCAATGCCGTGCCTGCCTAGACTAGTCCGCTGGCCGGCCCCAGCTTGCGAGGGTTGTACGCTCACCTTGTAGTAGGCAACTTTCGGGTCGTATCCATTGACGTGTCCCGTGTAGTAGGCGCCAATGTCCTCAAACTTTTTGCGAACTCTGCGCCCAATCACGTTCCGACCCTGCCCCTCCGGAGCCGCAACACTGCACCCACCAGAACGCCCATGTCAGCGCGGAGTATATAACGCACCCGACTGAATAAGCATAAGAAGCGGGCTCGTCCACTTAAACGCAACGTCACCCATCAGAACGCCCGAAAACGGTAACAAGCTTATCCATCTGCTAGTAATGAGATTCACCCTCTGGGAAGAATGAGACAACGTCAAGCAACGAGAGACTTGGGTGTCCCTCTGTTTGTCATGAGCTTGCATGGTCCCGTCCGTCTGTAGGGATTTCTCCGCTGCCATGCAGCTGTTTGGACAATGAATCTCCCTCGAAAGACTTTCAGCAAAGACTGTTCGCGAGGCAATGGCGGCAGAGCCAGCTACGATTGACTTTTGACAGGCGCTCTACAAAGACGTTCCCCAGAGAGACAAGCCAAACAATGAACTTGTGAGACATCAACCGAACATCCATGGAGTTTGACGGCCAGTCGCAGCATTGTTGATAAGCCGCTCGAGATCCTTCACAGTGGGCGGAGAGGCCTCACTCTGAGCTCTTGGAGGCCGCTGCTTTCTTGGCCCTCGCCACCGGTTTCTTGGCTGCGGCGGCCGCCTCCCGCGCTTTGGGCGTCGCTACTGACACCCGCTTAGCAACGTTTCGCCCCTGCCCGGGCCCCCCAGTTGCAACCTGCTTGACGCCCACTGTCTGCTTCTCGGCCGGAGCTGCGCACCAAAGATGCAGAGTCGTGAGGGCCAGGCGAGCGGGTGGCGGCCTTGAAAGGTCGGCAGATTTCGTACTGGATCCGTTAGGAAACTTCGAGAGGAGGACTTGCATGCTCTAGGGCCAGATCAGTCGTGAGTATTGAAGCCTTCTGTGCCACAACATAAGCCTAAGGGGCGTCACCGTTCCACAGGTCTCACACTGCAAAACGTGCCAGACCCACTGGATTGTGAGCATCTGAAATTCCAACAATCCTCCCAGAATCGAACCCAGACACTGAAACCCATCTTGTTGTTCTACAGCCAGGCAGCCGCCCCCGAGTTCCTCACCTTCTACAGCCTTTGCCTTTTTCGCCGCAGGCGCCTTCGCCGGAGTTGCCTTGCGCTTGGCAGGAGACTTGGCCTCCGCGTTTGCTACTAGCTTGGACAGTTCCGCCCAGTCCACCTCCTCCGTATCCCCGTCCTCATATGTGACCTGCACAGCACGCGTCACGTAACTATAATCAGGGCATGCAAGAGGGAAAAGCCATCGACCAGGTTCATTCGGCAGAAAGGAGCCCGGCCAAAGGTAACAGGGCATGGGGGGGTGATGTGAGAGGACCAGAGGGAAACAGTGTCAGCTACGGCGGATATGGTTTGTCGCTGTTGATGGTTCTGTAGGGCCACCGCACCAACCGGCTATCAACTCAGTTCAATACCTTGGTGGAACGACCGTTTCCCTCCTTCGTGCAGGTACGATCAAGAGCTCACGCAGGGCATGGTTCTCCGCATACCAGCTGGTTGATCAAACAGAGGACCTGTGCTGTAGCTTGCCTCAAGGGAACATGGATCCGAAGAGTCTCCCCCCAAACCCAGGGGTAAATAGGAGCTTAAGTAATGGTCGCATCCCTTTTCTCAAGTTGAAGGTGTCTCCATTGCCTTCACCAGCTTCGGCCGTGAGTTCCAAGTGTATGTGCAGTTGACGTACGAACCCCGTCACCTTACCAGCTTGTCCTTTTTAAGAGTTTTGAGGGTGAAAACCAGGGGGAAGAAGTGAACCGCGCCCGCTTTACTGACCTTGTACCACTTCTCCGCAGGGTCGTAGTTCTCCACTGTGCCTGAGAAGAACTTGTTACCAAACTTTTTTCGCACCGGCTTCCCCACAACCTCCTGGCCAGGCCCGTCGTTAGCTGCAATACGAGCCAGAGATTAGACTTGTCTATTGTGTACAGTGTCTGCGGTAATGCAAAAGCTGAGACTTCTTTGCAATTGTGGAAGACATTTTCTCATTTTGTCTGGAACCAATTGCTTCAGTTCCCCCTGGCAAGATGGCCAGTGGTTCCGCCGCAGACCTCTGCGGTGGCCTTGAGCTACCAAGTTCATGCCAGTATAGAACCACTGACTGCTGACCCGATACAACCTGCTCAAAGTATTGTCAGTGCAGAGAACCTTCTCTCCATGAACAGGTAGCTGGAAAGCGAAGCCGAGAATCAACAGGGGGGTGGACGCGATAGGCTGTCCTTACCGGCTGCCCCGCCCGCCATATGGTTTGGTAGGGCCTGGAGGAACAGGAGAGTAAAAACAAGGCTTTAAATACCTTTTGGCAAGGGACCATGATTCCAAATCACCTCCGCAAACTCTCCCTTGTGTGCAGGAAGTAAGTAACTCTGGTGAGAACAGTTGCTGATGCCACTAAGCCACGTAACGGGGCATTCAAGACACAAGGGACCACAGCTCGAACGTGGGGCACAAAACAATCACGTCTCAAAGTTTCTTCACAGCCAGGCGCCTGATGTGGGTAGGTAACTATGTTTCCTGCAAGCTTGATAATTTGTGCAAGAGCAGATGCAGAGATCGCATCATCAAAGACGGATTCTTCCATCCTTTTGTTTATTACCCAATGAATATCAACTGTCCAGTGTTTTTAGCCTGATGGAGTATTTCCACAATTGGCCTTACACTTCAAGCTCCATTCTTGAAAGCAGCCACAATCAACCATGATGAAACAATTCATTTCACATTGGCGGTGGTAAATCCCCATTGCTTCAAAACATTCCAGGGTATAGAACCCCCCACCATGCGAAGCTCCTTCGCTGCCCCTCCGCTGGACGTCCAACTAGGATGAGCCACTCCAAAAGAGCAGCAGAGAGAAGAGGACAAGGCTTTTATGCATTCAACCTTCTCCCTAGTGGTGCCGCATTGCTTGGGTAAATGTCTGCCAATCCATATTGACAAACAAGTGCTGACATAGTTGAAAGGGCAAGCCGCATTGATCAGTTACCTGCACGCCAGGGCCGTGCTTCCCTGCTCCAACGCCCCAGCTTTTGCTTGCCTGATGGTACTCAAGCAGACAATCTAATGAATGTGCCTCCACTTGTTTGCTGATCGGTATGCGTTGATTACCAGCAATCACAGCAGCAGAAACTCAATGAAACACAAGGTAGTAGCGGAGAAAGAACAGGATGATACTCCTGAAACAACCTCGAATATGGTGATTGTAAAGAGGAATCTCAGCAAAGAAGACGCTTTGTCCTGTGCGTCTGAATT